GTCTGAGACAATGCTGAAATAATATGAAATTGTTTTAAAGAAAAGTATTTAATGAAATTGGAATTATGTAAATTTCGTGGTCTTGGATAATTTTGGCCAAATTTGTAATTCTGGCCGAAATTAACATCACGTGACACCGGGAAAATAGTTTAGCCACCGGGCAAAAAATTTTTTATCGGCTGGCATGAAAATTTAATGTTACACAATTTGTAATTCTGGCCGGCGTTATGAATTCTGGCCAGAATTATTGCCGATCATTTGTAAATCCAATCCGGTTTCCGGTTTCTATCCGGATTATCTGATCCGGATTCAAAATCCGGGTCAATCCGGATATAATCCGGATTTTTTTTTTGTGTAATCCGGATGACGGTTTTCATCCGGGTCGAAGCACTATAGAGAGCACCCTTTGACTGGAATTACAGACAACAAGGGCAAAATGTATTTATGGGGTGGATTGGATATTCGTATGAATGCTATTAGTGATATGCTTATTTTAGATACAGTAAATCTTGTTTGGAGTAAAGGAAGTTTTGCACCAATTATGAGTATGAGATATGCTGCCGTTTTATTGCCCGATAATATATTGGTAAGCAATTCATTTTACAATTTTTATGATTCAAATATTACTTATTATGATGTATGTCATTTATATTCTTGTTCTATTATTTAGATTTACTAGGTTTACAGGTATATAATATTTTTACAATAATTTAAGGTTAAAACGTTGAGATTTACGTTTTATTTCAAAAAAACGTCAGCATTTTTTATTTCTTTGTTATAAACCTTTAGAACATAGAATTTTTATACAGAAATATTTCGGTTCAACTAATTAAACTATTTATTTGTACAGGTCTATATATATGATACAATAGATGATGATTGGAATATAAAGGTAGATTAATAAAATCATCAACTAAATAAATATAAACGAAATTATTGCTTATTACTGTATATATTATTTAAATATAGTCAACTTCAGGAACAATACCTTCTTACAAAAGCGGTTTTACCGCTGTTCTTGGTATGTATTTCAAACAAAAATATCATCATATTATTCAGCATTAAGAACTAAATTAATTTATTTTAACAGGATTAGACGGTCAAAGGGTAATCATTTATGGAGGTTATAGGGATGATGTTACTAAAACTCCTAAACCTGTGGATTCACCACTCTATGAATTAAAATTAATAAATTTTGAATGGCGTATTCCAAAAACATCTGGGCAAACTTTAGCATTCCGTTATGGTCATGTAGCAAATGTAATTGACAAATATATGGTTATTTCATTTGGTAAATATATTTACGAACCACTATTTAAATTAACTGATATGAATTTTAACCAAAATTTAATTATTTTAATAGGAGAAAGTTATAACCGTTCAATTGAAAATGATATTTTATTGCTTGATATTAGTAATGTCAATGAGTATATATGGACGAACGAATTTAACAACTTACCACCAAATAACATTATTGGTGCAATTATAGGATCTTTGCTTGGTTGTTTGTTATTGTCCTTTGTAATAGGTTTTATTAAATACAGACGAGATAAAAATAGAAGTAAAGATGATAATGATCAAGCCGAAAATAATGTTCATAATTACGGACAAGAAATAGTGCAACCACTCAAAAATGAAAAGATTTTTAATCATGGACAAGAAATAGTAGAACTACCCAATAATGACCATATTTTTAATCATGGACAAGAAATAGTAGAATNGTGTAATGATACTTATCTCAAATTCTAATCAGTAGATTCACAAGATTTTGGTATCAAAAGATTCTTCTCTTCAAAAGAAACATTTTTTTCTATGGTAAAAAATAATATTAACTTAATAAAATTACATGTTAAAAGAAAAATAAAGTTTAAAACATAGTAAGATATGACCTCAATTATAATTATCCGGGGTCCTATAACAACATTACTTGGTATTAACTTTTATATCTATAACAAATTCTAATAGACATTAAATGTGTATATGGTATTTCGAAGTTTCAGTGATTGTTTATTGAGTTAAATTAACTGAAGTTATTTTCGCTTTCAATTTCTTTTACTTTGAGATAATTTAAGACATCAAGCTCCAGATTTTATCTTGAATGTTTGCTAGTGATAAATCTTCGTTAGTTATCAAAAAATATATAGAATAAATTATATCCAGATGATATTACCTATTAATAATTCTGACTAATTCATTAACTGTTATTTGTTAAGCTTGTTAATTACTTAAATAATATATAATATCATTTATCATCATGATTTTTTATTAGATATAACTATTTAAAATTTATTTATAACCAATATGCCATACATAAAAAGATAATTTAATAATGTTATTTAATTAAAATAATTCTCTGATTCGAAAGAAAACTTCATTCAATATTATTTTCATCATCTTGATTCATTTCATTAAGATCTATTAAATAAATAAATATATATATATATGAATAAAGCATCAATAAAATAAACCACTAAAGAATAAATATCTTACCTGATTCATCTAATTGGCAATCAAAACCTTCTGAAACTATAAATCGATTAAATTAATATTAATAGAATATTAATTATATAAATTACCAATAAATATAATTACTTACATAATGTTGATTGAATAGCACCTGTTAGAAAATATACAAATAATTAGCAACATAAATAATTTTTCATTAAAAAGTAATTAAATTAAATTACCTAAATTTACTGGTTCTGGAAGATTTTTGAAATTTAAAAGTCTACTAGTATAGATTGCTTGTGGATGTGTTTGAATGTTATTAGATCTTTTTTCACTTGTTCTGTTTAATTTGATTTTATAATCATATTCATCATCAAAATCACTCAATTGCCCAAGTTTTTGATATAATTCTTTAGCAGTTGGTCTATTTTCTGCTTTAGCATCCCAACATTTAGTAATCAAATCTGCAAGTAATTTTGGTGTATATTTAAAAGTATTTGGTCTAAGTCCTTTACATATTTTAATAGCTAAAGCATGATTATGAGGAATTTTATTATAAGGAGTTTCTTCAGATATATATTCATTCATCATTATTCCAAATGAATAAATATCACATGCTTTTGTATATTGATATCCACGTAAAACTTCTGGTGCCATATAAGGTAATACTCCATAAATTCCTTTTTGTTTAACTGATTGCTTTTCATTATTTGCTGGTTGACATATTCCTAAATCACTTATATATGGAGTACACAGACTGTATAAATATTACCTGAGTGAAAGTCTTTGTGAACCTTTCCAGAATTATGAATATCAAGAAGCCCGCTTGCAATGCCTTTAAGGTCTCTAATTTTTAAAGAATATTTTAGACCATTATTCAGATAGTAGTTTCTCAAATTTCCACTATTACAATATTCTAAAACCATTATATAATCCTTAGTATTTGGCTCTTGGGTTATTCCATGGCATTTAATAATGAACCAAAGACAAATCTGAAGATAAGATTTAATCTAACAAAAATATTGAAAAGTGGTAAGCTTTTAATAAATACATAAATAATGCATAAATAAAAAATTTTTGAATAAATTGCATTTCTTATTTTAATTATTTCCTCATCCAAAAATTCTGTACTTATACAAAAAGAATTATCCAAAATTTTAATGCAACTTTTGTATTACCAAACCTCTTCCATTTTTGATTTTCAATATCCCAATATTCAATATATCGTTCAGGCCATACAGCTGAATATATTTTACCAAATCCACCTCTGGTAATATAAGTAATATCCTTAAAATTTTCAAAAGGTATCATCCATTCAAAATAATTTTTACAGTGCACAGCATTAAGTTGTAATTGTTGAATAAATTTATCAATATCTTTATTTCCACTAGTCCAATTTTTAAAGTTATCCACAGATCTTTTAGAATTACAAGGTTGACACCATAGAAATCCTGTGCCAGGTTCATTACATTCTCCACATATTCCATATACTTGTTTTCTTTTTTCTAAGTCATTCATATAAACTGTTTTTTCATCTGCCTCTTCTATTAATTCAGTAGTTGATTTTGATGTTAAATTAAAAACATTTTATAACTCAATTTTATGGAAAATATTTTAATAGTTAGTCTTTTTATTATTTCACTGTATATCTTAATTTTCGTAAATTTGAATCGTTGGTTAAATAAATTGTCAATGAAGTCTATTTTGTGTTATTTTTCTCAAAATTCTTTTATTGTACGCACTTCTGATTTTTTTGATAAAAGAGCAAGATGGTTTGCTCATCATATTCTTCTCAAAGATTGTAATAACTTCGAAGTTTGAGCGATTAAAAATAACAAATTCAGTTATTATTGAAACGCAAATTTATGACTATAATGTGAGAATAATCAGATTAAACAAAATCAGATTTTTTAAATTTTACAAGAAATATAAATAAAATTCCAAATTTTATATCAAATTAATTTGATATAAAAATTCGCTATTTTGGTGTTTCAACTCGATATTTATTAAAGAAATTTTTTTTTTAGAACATTTAATAAAATAATTTTGTGAATTTTAAAAATTTGAGGGATTCCTATTTTTGGAAAAGTGTCAATATTTTTAGTTATACTCATCTGTAACAGCGAACGGTGGATAATTTGCCAAAGAACTTCCTTTTAGATTCATTAAAATTAAACATCAAAAATCGAATGTAATTTGAGGATGATCTCTTTCAATATTAGTAAGCAACATTTTTTTAGGAAATGTAATTGTTGAATCAGTCCGTCTACATTTTATGCTAGTATTATGTAAAAAATTAATTACTATTTTTTAATTAAGCTGTTTCTCTATACTCAAATGATTTATTTCCCTTTGATACCATTCCTTGCGAATTACTGTACTGCAGAGTGCAGATAACCCGAGTAATACAAAATACCTGGTTTAAATATTGTACAATAAATACCTTGGTACAACTTCCATCCTGAGAGTACCATAAAAAAATTAATTATTCAAAAATTTTAAATTTGATTTGTAGTAACTATTAATTATGGTGTATTTTAAGTGGGTACCCATAAAAGGGTGATGTCTTGTACAATGTGGTATGGTATCTCGAAAATGGGGCGCAGCATCAAAGACGAGTGATATATAATTTAGTTGTATGTAAAAAATAACTAAATTAAAATGAAATGATACTAATTATAAAAAGTTAAAATTCATATGATCATCACATTTAAAAGCAGGAAAATTCCTTTTTAGGATTAATTAAAAATGATACTCGTAACATTGAGAATATATACCAAATGAAGCTTTTAAAGATAACCTTATTTTTTATTTTTTATTTTTTATTTTATTCTTTTTTTTTCTGACGAACGAAATGGCACTAAAAAGAATTAATAAAGTTTGTTTATTGCATCATTTATTTTTTCGTAAATTTTCTTTTTTAGCAAACTAGTAACTAATTAACTATCCTTTTTTATCCTTTACATATCTCCTACTAGGAATTGATCGACTTAGGACGTGACCCACCGTCGTCTTGTAGTGCTGGTCCTATCGGAGATGATCTTTTTCATTGGCAAGCGACAATCATGGGTCCTGTAAGTTAGTTTATATATCAAATTTTATACAAATATATAAATGATTCACTCAACTCTGTTTATGTAAACTTTGATTAGTCTGACTCTCCATACTCAGGCGGCGTGTTTTTCCTTGCTATTCATTTTCCTACAGATTATCCGTTTAAACCACCAAAGGTACATTTTATTTGTATAGTTTTGTATACTTTAAACTACATACTTATATGATGTTCATATTAGATTAACTTTACAACAAGAATATATCATCCGAATATCAACAGTAATGGAGCTATAAGCTGGGATATTCTAAGAGATCAATGGAGTCCATCATTTACAATTTCAAAAGGTAAACTACAAAACTGTTGCAATTCTTTTATGTAAGAATTTAATCAATCTTTTATTATTTAAGTACTAGTGTCAATTACTTCATGGTTGACCGATCCAAACCCAGGTATATATATTATTATACTATCATTATTATTCGTCATTTCCTTGATTTATTTCTCTGATTCTTACCAATATAAACAATTAATATTAATAGATGATCCAATTGTACCTGAAATTGCTCATGTATATAAGACTGATCGCACTCGCTATGAGGCTACTGCCAGAGAATGGACTCGCAAATATGCTAGTTAGTATACACTAGTAATTACAATTATATAATATTTTATTTTATTTGCCTTTTAATATCTAATTTTTATTATCTAAACTACATGTTCCACTAGTGTAATTATTTGATCACTTATAAACCGAATAAATATTTTGCCTGCTGGTAGTACTTAAATATCTGTATTTTGAAGTTTTAAGTTTTATAAATTAATTAAATCTTATATTATATATGTTCTATATAACTATTTTTGTTTGACATGAACCATTGTGAAATTGTTCTTTTAAAATAAAATTAATTATATTCGTTAAAAAAATACAAACATTCTATTAAAAGTAAATATATTTTTAATGATAAAATGGTAACGTTGCTTCACAAAGATCGTCTTGTACAGTAATATTCGAAAGAATCGATTGGTCGAGCTTTGAAACATCAAATTAAAATTTATGTAATTCGAATTTGAATCAAGTTTTTAAGTCATCCAATTTTTTTACTTCGATAAGTTTAATGTATTTGGAATAAATTTTACGATTTTAATAATATCATATTGGATAAAAATTTAAATGACATATTTCGGTTTATTGTTATAATTTAATTACGTTTTGAATTTCCTTTCTATAAATTCAGAACACTAATTAAGTAAGTATATAATAGATGTCACTGATAGGTTTTAGACGACGCAAGAGTATTGCATAATTCATTTTACGTAGCAGTGAAATATTTTTAACTAAAATCGTCGGATTAATATTCTTTTTATCAATTATTAGTATTTTTTTTTTTTTAATAATTATTAGTACTTCTTACTAAACGAAATAAAGGCGTAAAAAAAGAATTTTTTGGATTGAAAATATGACCGCAGCATCAAGGACAATAAATGATTTGCAAGAATGTTTTAGTGAAAAAAAATTATTTGAAATTGTTAGTAGTAAATATTCACCTAAATACTTTTTTAAATTAGTATTAGTTTATAATTCATATAATCCAAGATCAGAATTACTTCCAGAAGAATCAGAATCATTTTTTATAAGTTGAAAAAATCGTGTACCACAAAAACAACTTACTTTTATTATTGTTAGTGATAAAAATCCGTTATATGCTCATGATGAAAATAAGAAAATAATTGAAAAATATACTAAATTGGGTATTATTGAATTTTCATAATTTGTACTTTTTTGATCATTTTCTTATAAAATTAAAAAAAAACATATATACAGTGTATATATATATTTTATCTGAAATACGTGTTCTGCTAATAAAATTCTTATTCTCGATATACTGTATGTGTACAATCTTCATATGTTCATTCAACCATATTCAAATTTTCCAATTTTGGTATATTCATATTAAATAAACTATTTACAAAAATGCATCATAGTCTACTTAAAATAAGTATAGTTTTTAATAGAATTAGTATTTACCATTTTGAGAATAGTTTCAGTTTAATAATTAGCTGTTTTTAAACAACTATTGAAAACATGATAATATAAATCTTAGCAATTAGTTGTAAAATGTTAAATACAATTAATTAATAGTTACTCGGCACTTACGGTCACTTTGTGCCGAGTAACTGTTAGGCTTACGTAATAGGTATATTTTTTCATATAACTTAGTAACTAATCACCAAACAGTGAAGGCCTGAAGGGTTGGGTTATATAATTAACATACTTATTCTAGCAATTTCGTATGTCAATTCCCAAACAGGAATTTTGTAAAGAATTCGATCAGTTTTGATTATTGATTTTTTCTTTTTTAGGTTAAATTAATCAAATATAGTTGATGCAATCATTAGCAGTTTATAACTATCATAAATTAACATTTTATATAATTATACAAATTTTACCAATTAATTAAATTTCGTAGGATTTATTAGTCAAAATGTGGCAAAGTTGTTCTTCAGATATATTATCAAAAGGAATCTTAACCAATATTTTTACTGTTAGTTACATCTTTAATACTGTAACCATTGTCAAACTTTTTATTATATCTTAATAACATTTTAAAAATCTTTATTTTTACTGAAATAATAATTTTAAAATTATTAAAATTATTGTAATACGAAATAACATATAAAAATTATAAATAATAACAAGAATAAATTAATTAAACTTACAAAAGGAAAATATCTCCTTCACTATTATTATCACCATCTTGATTAATGTTCTATAAAATTGATAAATTAATAAATAAAATATATATCAAATAAAGAACTAAAGAATAAATATTTTACCTAATTCATCTAATTGGCATTTGATATTATTATAAGATAGGGATTTTTTTTAGAACACTTATTTTTTAAAAAAAAATAATTTGGGAAGGAATTTTTGGAATTTGGATGAATTTTTTGAAAACTATGAATAACGTAAATTGAAAAGGCGTCAATATTCTTGTTTTACCTTCATTTGCAACAGCGAACGGCGAACAGTTTGCCGAAGAGCTTTCTTTTAGTTAAAATGTATTTGAGGATGATCCTTTTCTCCTTTTCATTGGCAAGCGACATTTATTTGTCTGTAATTTTTTACATAATACTAGTGTAAAACGTAGACGGATAGTTCAACTTATCTATTTAATTACTTTATTTCCTGAATACTGTTTTTTAATTAGGCTGTTTCTCTATACTCAAATGATTTATTTCTCCTTAATATCATTTCTTGCGAATTACCGTACTACTCGGGTAATACAAAATAAATATTATACAATACCCTGGGTAAAACTTCCATCCTGAAAGTACCATAAAGAATTAATATATAAAAATTTTAAATTTGGCTAATAGTAACTATTAATTATGTTGAAGTTTAAGTGGAGTACCCATCTGTTAAAGTACGTAACATTTTATCGAAAATGCGGCGCAGTATCAAAGACGATATATAATTTAGTTGTATGCAACAAAAATTAATTAGTATTATAAAAGGTTAAAAATCCATACGATCATGTTACATAATTACACTAATCACATTCAAAAAACAGAAAAATTTTTTTTAGGATTAATTAAAAAATGATACCCGTGATAATGGGAATATTTTACCAAATATGGCATAAATAAGCTTAAATTGGCTTTTAAAGATAACCTTATTTTTTATTTTTATTTTTTATTTATTTATTTATTTTTTTTCTAACGAACAAAATGGCACTGAAAAGAATTAATAAAGTGTGTTTATTGTTTCATTTTTTTTTTTTTACTACAAATTTTTAAACTGAGACTTTTGGCAAATTAGTTACTAATTTAATATCTCCTGCTAGGAATTTCACGACTTAAGACTTGACCCACCGCCATCTTGTAGTGCTGGCCCTATCGGAAATGATCTTTTTCATTGGGAAGGGACAATCATGGGTCCTGTAAGTACTTTTTGCTAGTTTATATGTTAAATTTTATACAAATACATACTAACTGTTACTTTATTAGTCTGACTCACCATACTCAGGAGGCGTTTTTTTCGTTGTTATTCATTTTCCTATTGAATATCCGTTTAAGCCACCAAAGGTACGTTTTATTTATATAGTTTTGTATATCTTAATAATTACATACTCATGCATATGTTATTTAAACTAGGTTACCTTTACAACAAGAGTATATCATCCGAATATCAACAGTAATGGAATTATAAGCCTGGATATTCTAACTGACCAATGGTGTCCAGCACTTACAATTTCAAAAGGTAAACTACAAAACTGTTGCAATTCTTTTTATGTAATAACTTAATCAACCTTTTATTATTTAAGTACTATTGTCAATTTGTGCGTTGTTAACCGATCCAAACCCAGGTATATTATTATACTATCATCCTATTCGTCATTTCCTTGACGTTCTTCTCTGATTCTTACCAATATAATCAATTAATATTAATAGATGATCCACTTGTACCTGAAATTGCTCATGTATATAAAACTAATCGCACTCGTTATGAAGCTACTTGCAGAGAATGGACTCGCAAATATGCTAGTGAGTATAGTAACTACATTATAAAAAAATTTATTTTATTTGCATTTTAATGTCTAATTTTTACTATTCTAAATTACATGTTTCACTAGTGTAATAAATTATTCGGTCACTTATGATTCACAATTCATATAAGTATATAAGTAAATTTTGTAAATCTAATGATTATTTGGTTACTTCAATTATAATTTATGAAATCAGATTGATGTTGGGTATACGAATATTAGACATTATTCGCTACCCGGTAGTATTTCCCTCACTTAAGTATGTGTATTTTAGGTTTATAAATTAATTAAATTTTATATTATACATGTTCTATATAATAATTTTTACTTGACAAGAACCGTCGTGAAATCGTTCTTTTAAAATAAAATAATTATATTCATAGTTAAAAATTTACAAACACTCGATTAATTGTCTGGAATGTCTACGCACTTATGAAAATGATCATCTATCACGTGAATTCTGTCCCTCACGTGACGGTCGTGACGTCATCCAAATCGCGCTAAGGTTTCCGTTTCCTAGTAAATAAATGTTTTTAGTGTTAAACTGCTAATGTTGCTTCACAGGGATCGACTTGTACTATTCAAAGACGATTGAGTCGAGTTTTTGAAACATCAAATTGAAGTTAAAAAATACTAGAATATGATTATCTGATTTTTTTTTACTACATGTACGATAAGTTTAATATATTTGGAATAAACTTTAAATATTTAATAATATACTGGATTAAATTTGAATGACATTTCGATTTATTATGATAACTTAAATTACAATTAGAATTTTCATTCTATTAAATTCATAGCAGTTATCAGAAATGTGTCATAGTATACAAAAATTAAGTTTAACTTTTGTAAAAAATATTTCAAATGGATTAATGGATTTAATTTCTGCACAGAAAAATTTAAAAGAAATTAAAGAAATTGGAAATATTACATTTTAATAATGAATATTTGAAAGACTTATTTTTATTAGAAAAATTTCCTGATATCTAGAGGACAGCTTTATACTTATTTGTGGAAGAATACATCACTATTATTTATTGCTAAACTCACAAATTAAAAGAAATTATGTTAGGTTTTGATTTTTTAATAATGATTGTTTTGAAGATTTCGAAAAATTACTTTTCTCTTGAAGTATTCCAAGAAATGAATTATTAATAAAATTATTAGAAAATAATTGAAGAAATTTTAAAGAATTTTATGCTAATGAATTTAGTGCTCTTACCAGGTCAAATCGGGTCGGGTTTGAAGAAAATATTCGACCCGACCTAAACAAAAAAATCAAGACCCGTATGTCACATTTCTTATAACTCGACCCCTGACTCGACCCAAGTATAGTTAACTCGAATAACCCAGATTATTCAAATTTTTTAGTAATATCATCGAGTAGATTTACGAAATTCGTTGAGTTTTAACAATTCAATTAATATAAAATTCAAAATTTTATTAATCAAATCTAAAAGCTTACATGATAAGGTTAGCAATTGAATACAAATTAACTAGTTGAGCTAATATCAACATTTAATGAAGAAGTTAATAAAGTTTTAAATACACAGTTTAATTTGATTGTTTGTTCTAGTTGTTATGTTATAGTATCTTTACTTTACTATGTATTTTTACTAATAGCCAACTACAATGTTAATTTCGGCCGATATTATAATTTGGCTCGTGTTACAGCTGTTTTCATAAGACCTGGGACAAAATAAATTTTTGAACCCGACCGCCGACCCACTCAGTTATTTATTTTACATCAAATCAGGATCACGTGCCCAGCTAAAATACCGGATCGGCGGATCCGGCGGATCGGGTTCAAATATTTAGTTTGTCCCAGGTCTTATGAAAACAGCTGTAATACAGAGTAACAAGGAAATATATGACCCTATTGACCCGACCCGTCGGGTCGGGTCATGCGGGTCACGACTCACGGGTCATTAAAATTATTACAGCTGATTTTATAATAATGATAATATACGACGGGACACAGTCGGGACACCCATTACTTTTACTCCATGCTGAGAGATGATCTGATAGTTTTACCTTATTCTGAACTTTACCGAGTTTTACCGAATGTACCGTCGGTATGTGACTAGATGTCCCGATTGTCCCGTATATTATGAAACCAGCTGTAATACCGAACCGATCTAAAGTCGAGTCGAGTCAAATCAGTTCGTATCTTTCGGAGCACTAAGTAATGATATTAATTAAGTTCTGTCCAAATATTAGGAATCTTTATAATATAATGAATTAGAATCTTTCAAAGTATTTATTAATATTTAGTGAAAAAAATTTGTTTGAAATTGTTAGTAAATTCACCTAAATAGTTTATCATTCATGTGATCCATGATCAAAATTACTTCCAGAGGAGTTAGAATCATTTTTTATAAGTTGAAAACATCGTGTACCACAATATAACTTTCTTGATTATTGTTAGTGACAGAAATCATTTATGAACTCATGACAAAAATATGAAAATTATTAAAAAATATACTAAGGTGTTATTAAATTTTTGTAATTTACACTTTAATCATTTCCTTATAGGAGTTATTTGAATAAAAAAAAATTCTCTGATTTAAAAGTACTAATTTTTTTATAAATGGATTATAAGACGCTTTTTTTAATCACTTTTTGAATGACAATAGTCAGTTAGGTCAGTTATGATCGCCTACTGACCAGTTTGACCTACCACTTAAATTATTAAATTATTTCTAAAAATTTTTAATTATGTATAATTTGCAGATGCAGTAAATATTACTCAGCCGCACGATCACAGCTGAGATGCAAATTTCTGCACCTCCGGCCACATTTTACGACTTAATTGTATGTTATTGTACGGGCGTGCTTGATAATGGTATGATGTGGCACGGAGTGCCACATCAGATCATTATTAAGCACGCCCGTACAATAACATACAAATAATATCATCCACATTTATCATTATCATTATTTAATTAACCATTACAGTAAGACTGATCGGAAGGTATTATACTACATGTTCTACTATTTATAAGTTTCCATGTTTTTCAATATTCCAAGAATTTATTATGCAAAATCGTGTTGAACTAAATATTATAATATCAGTACTTCATCAAATAAATGATCTAATTATTATTCATAAACCTAAGTCAGTCCGTAGTCAGATTTGCATTTAAAAACTAAATATATTTTAATTTTTTTTAGAAATTATTTACATAAATCCGTAATTTCGAGATAAAATTGAATCATCGGTTAAATAAATTGTCAATGTACATGAATTGCAAATTAACAAAATTAATAGTGATATTTATGAGAAATTCATTTTATATTGCTTTTCTCAATATTTGCTTGTGAGTTTCTAATTTTTGATAAAGAACGAGATGCCGGTTTTTCTCATTATATTCTTCCAAATTCTTGAAGAGCTACTTAAAAATATTCATTTATTGATTTATGATTAATACAATCCAAGTATTATTGGCGAACTTAATTATAAACCCACCTTGAAAAAACCTAACATTTATAAATATACAAAGTAAAGACTATAATAACTTTTGAATGATTTAAAATAATTTTTAGTGAATCTAAACGATTACATATGAGAATAATAGATTAAATAAATCCAACATTTTCTGCTTTTAATTTTTCATCAAGAGTTTTTTGAATTTTACATAAATTATAAATAAAATCTTGGTATCAAATATTTTGATATCAAATGAACTTACATCACGGCAGATTTATGAAATACCCTAAATTTGTCCGTCATGTCAAATTAAATAAATATTTGACAGTCTTTTAGTCACCAAATTTCCCAAATTTATTAGTAAACAGTCAAAAATTAACCCTAAAAAATTTTTTTGTACCCCAAATCTTGCGTCTAACCAATTTTTCCGTTACCTAACCAATTTTTCCAGTGTTAAAGGTGCGTCATATTTGACATTTTTTAGAAAAAAAAGCTTAATGTTTCTGTAAGTCAATTTTAATTCCCGAGGGCGCACCAGGGTTTTTGCCAAATTTCATTAATCCGCCGCAATGAAAATAATATAATGTACTTTATATAAAAAATTCGTCTATTTTGATATTTCTTTTTTTTTTGAACTCGATATTTGTTAGAGAAATTTTTTTCTTTTTTTTTTAAAAAAAATAAAATTAAATAAATAATAATAAAAATAATAAAAAATTTTAAACAAAGCTGAGTAAACTCACTTACCTATCACCCGCAACCGCAAGTGAACATGAGAGGTTTTTTCATTGGTAAGCGACAATTATTTGTCTTATAATTTTTACACGATACTACATAAAACGCAAACGCTAATCTAATATAACTATTTAATTTCTCAATTGATTTTTTGGCTGACTCTTCATACTTAGATGATTTTCTCCTTGAACAATTTATAACAGGGTATATGCTACTCATTTAATTGTTTATGTTTTTACATTAAATGATTTATATTCCAATTACTTTTCATCTGATATATTAAAAATCCACCGTCTGAATATCGATTGTAATTATCAATTTGTTTATTTCTTACCTATCAACTCGAATATAAATTGTACTCGTTATGAACAAGTTATCGAGTGTAAACTAAGGTAACCTCAATTAAGTAATATATAATTCATACTTTCTGGCTAGTAATATTTTTATCTTCACAACCATCTTAATCATCGTATTTGTTAATTCCCACAAGTATAGTATACTAGGATGCACGATCACGTGATACCAAGATTTTTTTTTAGGGATGACGTTTTGATGCAGGGTATTACACAATTTTATTCAGCCTGACAGTAACACAAATTTTCCAAATAAAAAAGATTCTCACGACACTGGGAATTTTTACATTTTTAAAATTAAAATTAAAAAAATCAAAGTATTCGAATATTAAAAGCTTTAAAAAGTCAAATATTATAACTTTTTCTATTTGAAACTGATGGCAACTAGAAGAATTAATAAAGTATATTTATTGTTGTTTCATTTTTTACAGCTTTAGTTTTATTGTGATTTTTCAACTATGGTTTTGATAATTTCACTTATTAATTTTTAATCTATATATTAGGAATTAAGAGATTTAGAAAATGACCCACCGTCATTTTGTAGTGTTGGTCCTGTCGAAGATGATCTTTTTCATTGGGAAGGGACAATCATGGGCCCTGTAAGTACTTTTTAGCAGCTTATGTATCAAACTTTATACAAATGTATAAAAGACTCACGCAATTCTGTTTCTATACCTTTAATTAGTCTGACTCACCATACTCGGGTGGTGAGTTTAGTCTTGATATTCATTTTCCTCTAGATTATCCGTTTAAACCACCAGCGGTATTTTTATTTTTATATTTAGCATACTTTAATTGGGCACTTATTCACATGTTATACATACTAGATTGAGTTTATAACAAGAATTTACCATCCGAATATCGACAGTAATGGACATATATGCATGGATATTCTACATGAAGAATGGTCGCCAGGGTTTACTATTTCAAAAGGTAAATTTGCTACAATATTGTTGCAATTCTTTTTATGTAAGAATTTAATCAACTCTTTATTATTTAAGTACTATTGTCAATTTATTCATTGTTGACCGATCCAAACCATGGTATATTATTATTCTATCATCTTACTCGTCATTTCCTTGACTGATTTCTCTTATTCTTACTAATATAAACAATTAATATTAATAGATAATCCATCTGTACCTGAAATTGCTCATGTGTATAAAAATAATCGTAACCTTTATGAATTTATTGCTAGGAATTGTATTCGCAAAGATGCTGAAAGTAAATATAGTTAATCTAATTAGGAAAACTCTGTTTTTTTATGATTCACTTATTTTTAAATTCTCTCTTTCTAAATAAGGCACTTGGTATTTGGAATATTTCAATAAAGAAATAAAACATCTCGGTTGTAGACTTCGCAAAAATATGGTCTGTAAATTAATGGAAAATTCTGGCAATTCTCCATGTGGAAAAATCTATAATTTGAACGATAAGCCAATTGAAAATGCAATAATTCATTTGAAAAACTGTCATGACATTATTGTTACCCAAGATGGAAAGGTAAATTTGGTTTAGTTTTTTATTCATTGTTAACTGAAGAAAATAAAACTATTATAAAATAATATACTGAATGGTTGTTAATCTTTCAATCCTTTCATAGTTGAAAAATTTCAAAGAACAAGAATTATTAGATACAAATGAAGATCAAAAAGAATTATGGGAATTATTTTCTGATTTGATAATAGAAAATTCTCAATATATGGATACTATTTCAAGAACAAATTTTCATCAATTTATTCATAAACTCGATCCTGCTTTTATTATGCCATGTCAAGAAACAGTAGATTCAATTATTCATGCATCCTATAACTCGTCATTTTCACAACTTCAGCAGCTTATCAAGAATGAAGCAACATCTATTTCTTTGGCAGTGGATCTCTGGAAAGCTAAAAATCATCAAGGTTATTTGGGTATCACATGCTCATTTTTGGATCAAAAATGTGAATTACGCGATGTTACCTTAGATGTTGCTTATGTTAGATATCCCCATACTTCAGAACATATATTGGATGCTCTTGAAGATGTGATATCCAGATGGAAAATTCGTGATTTAATATTTACTATTACAACCACTAATAAAAGTAATTTAAAATATGCAATTCTTAACATGAAAAAACCAAACTGGCTAGGTTGTATTGATCACACGTTACAACTAGTAATTGGAAAGGCATTGAAACCAGCTGAAGCATTAATAGCACGTGCTAAGCATTATGTAGATTGCTCGAAGCTAAATGAATTTCTTGAAGAGGATAATGTGGAAATTGTAAGTATATTTACAATTATAATAATAATCAACCCATTTTTTTATGAATTGCGTCAATAACTTTATATATTATAGAAACCCGCAGAACTTTTACATACCATTATGAATTTTCCAACAGTATGGTATCCGCACAGTCTCCCTCTAAAAAATCATGGGAAGTTTAGTAGGATCATGCTACATCAGAGTGAAGAAGAATTGATTCGGGATCTTCAATCAATTTTAAAGCCTTTTTTAGAAATTACTGAACTTATAAGAGAAGGCAACTATTGCACCTATTCTTTAATAAACCCTGCATTACTTGAAATTAAAAATAATCTTTGTTTAGAAGGCAATAGCACAGTTCAAATTCAATCAACTTTTGGCAGAAGAATTCAACTTAATGGACCTGTAGATTGCACTGGCCTCATTGATAAGATAAAACTTAATCTTTCTGCTGCTATAAATCATTATTGGAGAGATATTTTGGATCCAAATTTCACTCATTTTAGCATTTTAGATCCTAGAATAAAAAATTTATCCTTTGTATCCTCTTCAATAAGACATGCAGCTGAAGATTTTTTGTATATAAAATATAGAGAAATTAGATCAACTATGGAAACTGAAACTGATACAAATGGAGATAATGAGCAAAGCCAACAGAGAACAAGTTCAATCTTCGCTAGTTTAAAGAAACTAACTTTTCCCACACATGTTAATGAGTTTATCGAATACTTAAATTTAGAAGAAATTGATTTGGAAAGTAATCCCTTTACATGGTGGAAAGAAAGAAAAGAAAAATTTCCCATTTTATACCGTATTGCTATGAAGTATTTATCTGTCTATACAACTTCAACTGTTAATGAAAAATTATTTTCTGATGCAAATAATTTAACAGATAAAGAGAATTCTGATTTATTTAAATACCTGATTTTTTTAAGACAAAATAATAAGAATTTAGAATCAATTCATCATTAAATCTTAAAAAGATTATTTTATATTTTATATTATATAGGTATATATATTTATTAAAATGGTTTATGGTTTTTGAGAATTTATTTATTAAAAATTTTAAAATTTTTTAATGAAATTATATTGATTTTCATTTATAAAAAATATTATCGGAAACTGGATTTTTACTAACAAATGAGATTGAAGTATTGAACTTTTAATTTGTTATTCTTACAAATGTCTTTATTACTAGGAAACGAATTTACAATTTTATTGGCTGGTGATCACGTGGCAGATTAAGAAACTTGTGTCAATTCGTTCGCTTTGCCTCCAAGACAATGAATATTTATTTTTTCATATTGTGATAGCATATCGCCGATCGGCGGAATGGAAGGTTTATAATTCGTGAAATTAAAAACGTAATTTAAACAATTAACTGTTATAAATAAACACGTGAAGATTATCAATATTTAAAAAAAATCTTATTTTTTGACAATGGAAATAATGTCAGTTAGAGAAAATATTACTGACCAAGAAAAACGGTGATAAATTTCAAATTGAAGAAGTTTCCACTTACCCATTAAACAACAATATTTTCTATCATGAATGCGTAAATAAAGTCACTAAACGTAGCTTCAACTATGTAATCATAAAAGAAGATGTTTATCCTAATGGAACTCAAACTGGACCAAAGAGTCTACAAGATCAGTAATTTGTAATAGCACTAGCAATAACAAACGAAAAAAAAGACCAGTTCAACAATATAAAATTCCGTATGGTTATATTGTAAAACAACTTGGAGATGTGCATCTATAAAGAAGACTGTTCGTTGTGAAATTGAATATATTAAAATTTCGTATTAAATGTGGTTCCAACTTTCAATATGTTGTTTCTTCAACCAAATCTTCATCTGATGCAGCATTTAATTATGAGAGAGTATGTACGATACTGTACAAATTTTATTATGTAATAATTAATTACTAATTAATTGCAGATATTTTGGCCGCCTAGTTTTCTTGTGATTTTCAGATTGTTGTTGATGAATCAATTGCTCAAGAGGATCTATTTCTTCTGATTGACCATGTGAATCAGAATTCTCTATTGATCAGAATTCAAAATTTCACTTAAAATTTGATATGCACCATCACCACGAAAGATACACTTGTAATTTCCCTTTGCTTTAGGATAATAATGATATGCCCAGAAAAAAATGGAAAAAAAAATATTCGTATAGATACCAACTTCTTTCCCATAGACCTAAAGTTTAAAACCAATTTTTTGTGTATCTCCATCACCAAAATTTCTTTAAATTCGGAAAGTGTATTAGCTGGCACATCATCAAGACCTTGGCGTTGATTATATTTTTAATTATCCTAATGTGTTGTGTTAAGCCTTGCGAACTTTTGAATTATTTTCCACAAGTGGAGCGCAGAAAGAAGTTATTTGGTGGAGGATTATGGGGAGGAGTATGGGGAACCATTATCATGCTGATGGGTAAAAGCGTGAGCGGCTGTTGAATGAATAAAAAAATTAATAAAATTGACCATGTAATTATTTAGTTTCATATTAACTATTAGAAAAAGCTAGTTTTTAAATGCTAGTACCGTGACTATATAAATCTTTACAAATAGAACGCGTTCAACTCTTGTAAAAATACAGATTTTCTTTATTGCTCTGTGAAAGAGTTATTTGTAAGTTATTTTCAATAAAAGTTTTGGCTTATAATCGCACAGCTTTGTCATTTTCTTCACCTCCAGAATCTAATGGGTTTTTGCCGAATCTAATGGGTAAGGTGTTTTGAGGTGGTTTTGACGTATTCTAAGGGATTTAATACATTATATTTTACTTAGAAATTTTATTTTTATTTTGTTTATTGCATCCGCAAAGATGTTAAACTATTAGAATTAGTAATTTAGGGAACCAATGATGGTCCGTAATGACGTAAAACACTAAAACTATGTACATTTTTTTTTCTTTCGTGAAAGTGAAATTTAAGTTTTTGTTTCTTATTTCTTATTAGGAATTTCTTTTATTTAACGTTATTAGTTAAAAACTTTTAGTACACAATATGTCAGTATCATAAATATTTAAATTTCCTAAAAATCTTTTTTTTCAATAAAAATTTATCGGTAATATTTAAGAATCAATTTTGTAAAAAATTAGCTGATAAACAATTTGCTATTCAGAATGAATATTAACGCTGACCCTAAAAAAAAAATGATTCGTTCTTGTTTAATGATTCATTTAAAATTAATTTTATTCAACATCAGAAAAAGATTTTATAATGAAGATACGAACGCTTCTATTGTTTGGGATCTTATCCAGGTTAATTTTGAATTAAAGTATTTTGAAAAATTTTAAATTTACTAAAAAATTATTTCTCTTAATAAAAATTTTATTTAGTACCAACAAATCCTTTAATTGATAAATCCGCAAAAACTGCACTTGTTGTATAAAATCTCACTCTCAAGACCACCATCACCACATTAAGTAAATGTAATCAGCCATGACGTAAAAAAATATAGAATTCGTATTTCCGATTTGTTTTCTCTTCGTGTAAAAGAAGCTGTATTAACTACAATTATGGGTATAGCTGCCGTTGGATTTAGTGGTGTAGTGTACCATACCTGGAGAATACAAAATCACAGTTGAATTATAATATCCACTTTCTAATATTACTATTTCTTATTGAAGGTATGAACGGCACGATATTACAATCATTTTCAAAACCCGCCTATCTTTTAAAATCAAAAATAAAAGAAGCTTATTTTGAATATCAAAAATTTGTGGTGTAATAGTAGGTGATACAGAAGGAAAATATTATTTACTGGTCGGCGAAAATGGTACAGGAAAAACTCAATGTATGTCGATAAATCATAATATTTTGTGAAGCTCGTTCGGATACTGAAATTTTTAAAACAAAATTGAATAGAGTATACTTTAGAGAAGATTACATTGATGGTTTTCAAGCTCTTGAAAGAGGTATTTAAGTCAATTAAGGTATTGTATTTTTTTCTTTCTTAGGAACTGTAAAAAAATTATAGTTATTTATTAACATCTTTTATTTAAAAGGTTTTGTGTTACTTGATATTGAGAAAGCTTTGAATATTGTGGAAGAAGTTGCTTATAAACATAAACTTTGCTATGGACGTCCACTTATTCTTATAATAAATAACGAGTATATTTACCGTATATTTACTGGATGAGTGTTGATTGATTTTTTCTTTAGGTATAGCAAATTGGATTTGAAATTTTTTATTTATAGGTTTTGATGATACTTTGCTTTTGGAAGTATAATTTTGGGAAGATAATCTTTTTTATAAGAAACATTTCATTAATGTTTCTTTCTCTTTACTTTTAAGTTTCAGCATCTTTCGGAATGGATGAATATGAGAGATGATTTTTAACGTTCATTCTTTTCAGGATACGAATTACGTGATTGCGAAATTGTGGACCAAACTTTGACTTTTTTTATTTATTATTATTATTATATGCTTATATGTATATATTTAAGTGTTTAATAAATTTAATAAATTTAAAATTGAAATTAATATTAAAACTAAATTAATTGAAACTAAATTCAGAAATATCTTAGATCACAATTCGTCTTTGAAGTTTTGTGTCGATCGAATATATTATTACTATTGGTTGGATAAAGTACAGTACAAATAATATCTAAATAATACTAGTTTGAATATTACAGTCAAGCTGCGCCGAAAACATCGACCGCACCATTAGACCTATGTTCGACCTAGTCAAATTTAGGTCGAATTGTCCTATTTCCCTATTTCGACTAATGTATATATTTCAACTTCTTTTTTTTTGTAGGAAAATCGGCCCAAACTTGGAGATTAGAGCCACAGATAAGTTTCAAAAAGGGAGATTTTTTTTCCTTTTTTTGTAGGAAATCAGCTTCAATGTGAGCGAAAATAAAATTCTGAAACTTCATAAAAAACTTTCTAGTTAAATTTAAAAAGATCGAATTTAGATTTTTTTCTTATTTTAAAAGAACAATTTTATTTTTAATTTAAAGATTAATTTATACTTCAAATATTTTTTATTAACACAAATTATTTTTTTTTTAATTTAACATTTCGAATTATTTTTTATTAAATTTAACTTTAATGCTTCAATTCAATGACACTTAATAACCACTTGATTATTAATTCAACACTTTGAAATTTTTTTTATTTTAAAATCAAACACTTAAATTAAAATTAACAAAATTAACGAAATTTTTAATTTGATAGTTATGCTCAGATTTCCACGTGACGAATAACACAGATCAGCCAATAATTTTGTTTTCACGCTACAATAAAATATTTTGGTCAAAATTATCATATAACTGATAGCAAACTTTATTTTGGTTCTTTCAAATCATGAAAAATATTTTATAAGAATCATTATTTATGTAATAACCTAATAATACAGTAAAACCTAACCAGTATCTACATATATACAAAAAATTACATGTAGCTCTTATCATTCCATATGAAAAAAATATCACAGTTCAGTTTTTTTAACATCATCAATTTTAGATGATACGGAAATCAATACTAAAATTGTCAACAAAGTTTCCGCACATATATCTGAAGTTAACGATATTCACTGCAGAGATCAGCAAAATTAAGAACGAAATTTATTCTAACTTCATTGTGGAAATTAAAGCACGTGGTAACGCTTTTTCAGAGACTAATGGAATTTTTGCATCGTCCAATAATATCGCAAGTAAACTTATTAAGTTCGAAAAAACTCTGGAACAACATCATAATAACTTTTGTGGAATTTCGTCTACACATTGATCAATACTTCTATTGAAATTCTTCTAAATGATATGATTTAACGTCATGCAGTTGTCCAAAGATCTGACTTTGATCAACAAAATGTAACCTCGATCTTCTTCCGAATCATCTTCTGGTTCTGGTAAGAAATAATCCTTGATAATTGCATTATACATACTAGAGACTTCCGACTAACATTTTGACTCAAGCCAAAAATTCACGAATATCTCCTTTTTCTTTATTTTATTAGGAACAGCCTCTTGAATAGGGATTGGAATCGATTAACGAATCTTTGTAGATTCGATTTTTTGTTCCTTAAAAGATAATCCATTTTAAGCTTTAATAATTAATTCCATGATCAGTAAATATAAAATCTATTAAGAAATTATATATCTATATTACTAAAAAAAATTTGTTTGACGTTTGGGATTAATTTGAATTGTGTAACTTGAAATCCCATGCCATATAATTAAAACCCGTGACATGCCTCCGCCTGATCTATTTATGGTCAAAAACAATTTGATCCGACCGTGTGCATTCCAATCAACTAATCCAATTTCGGTTAATGAAAATTTACCTTAATCGGAATTTTTTTTTTGATTATTAATTCGATTTCTTTCCCCCAAATTTTTATTTTTTTTTATTTTTTTTCTTTTTCTTTCAATTTTTTTGTTATTATTAAATAAAGAAATAAAATATTATATCACAAAATTGTTTTTTTTTAAAAAAAAATCAATTAAATTGAACGCTGGATAAATAGTTGATTTTCAAAATTCATAAAAATCAAAAAAAATTATTATTTTTACAATATTTGATAATTAATAAATTGAAGAAATTGTTGATTTAATAATAAATTTATTATAACCAAATCCATATCCGAAATTCTCTAAATAATCACCAGATTTTTAATAAAGATTTTAATTCAAATGATTTAGTTAAATTAATAATTTATCGAGTAAAATGAGTATCAAAAGAATAATAATAAATGAAATGAAACAGATTCTAATACAATTTAATTGTTCAAATATTTTAATATTTTTCCTAAGTTGGTTATAAGTTTAAGATTGACATAATATAAATAATAAGAAATAATTATAAAATTTATAAAATATTTGTAACATTTTCATAATATTAAAGTTTTTTTCGAAAATACTTCTAAAAAGATTAATCAATTATTATTGATAATTATTTTTTCACAATTCCTTAATTTCATTCTACATTCAAACGTCAAATCATTAATATAAATAGCTACATTATTGTAAAATATAATTTATATAATTCATAATTCAATACATATTATTTTATTATTTTTTGTTAACTAATTATTACCATATTAAATTCCTAAATATAAACAAAAAACTACTGTAACCATCTTTAATTTACTTAGTATTACTAAAATTTTCTATTTAATCAACGAGATAATGAAATGCAGGTCGCACTAAAAATTATGATATTAATTTATTATTTATTACCAGTTACCTTTGTTGTCATTGTAAACTAAGTATGACCCAAATATATAAAATCTCAAAGTTTAAGAGTAAAAATACTGGATATAATTTTAAAACCTTATACGACTATCAAAAATATGAAAAAAAAAATTCAAAATTGCAACGGGAATTATCAAATTGATGCTGATCATGTAACACAAAATAATTGCATATTGTAACTTTAACATTTTAAAGCATCAATGTGAAAAATTTGATATTTCGAAATTGAAAACTCATTTTTATATTAATCATAAATTTTATATAATCAGTCCCGGTCTGGACCGGTCCTCAAATCTCAGACCGTGAAGACCGGTCCCAAGACCGATACAGGACCGATCTTTGCTGGGACCGATCCAACCAACTGATCCAACCCTATTTAAAATGGATTTATTTTATAATATCTGGTTATCAAAATGATAATTGGACTTTAGGGGCTTGGCGGCTTGCATATTCCAATTTGAAAATAAAAACCAGTTAGTGATAAGGCTGATGATAACAACTTGCATATGATCAAGTTTATAATGTGTGGCTAAGTTAATAACTTTAGAGGCTTTGGCGGCTTGCTGTTTTTTCTGTGTAAAAAACCAGCCAACGGTAAGGCTGTTAAGATGCTGATTCTGTTTGATTTAGTTTATAATATCTGGTGATCAAAACAATAATTTATTTTATTAGGGCTTTAGGGGCTTATATTCCAATTGGAAATATGATTTTTCATGTGAACACGTTCAAAGTTTGAAACGTTCGAAATTTCAATATATTAACGTTTGAGGATGATCTATTCGGGCTATTGTAGTAGAAGAATAATGGTTATCCTTAATCAATGAAAATTTATTCACTTTGGTGATCGTCTATCGATGTGTCATATATGGTTTGGTTTGTAATGCCGACAGATTTATCAATCCATAATTGATGTGGAATATTCCCACCAGTTTAGGATTATATTTTCATAATAATTGTTACATCAATGAAACTTAATTAGTAATCATCTATTGAAATTATTCACACAAATAAGCCTCTTTCACGGATAAAGTTTGTACAGCATTTGTACCCGATCCAAGTATTTCAGTATTGATTGTTTCTAATTTTGGTAATTGCATATATTTGTAGTACGAAAGCATATGTTCAAATATGTTATATATATTTTTCGGTACAAAAAAAAACAAAAAAAAAGAGAATTAAAGATTGAAAATATTTTAAAAAATATTTACAAAAAATGATTTTCTCATCTTGTTCTACATTTATGGCAAATAGATTGATAAAAATTCTGACTATGGATACAAATCGGGGACACTGACCCTTTTACTCATAGATACAGGATACGTATTAAAAAATGTAATATCCGATCAATAAACAAGTAGAATGGAACATTTTAAGTAATTCAGTTCTGTAAAAGGAATAAGATAGGGATAAAATAACCCTTTTTTTTTGTGTCATTATCAGATATTTGACGAATTTATGTACAGCCATATAAAAAAAAATGTATCTATCGTATGATTAATTTACAAATTTTTATGTTGTGAAATGCGGTAACTGTTTTTTATGTTACTGGGAAATTTTGCCACATTTAACAAGAAATAAAGCTATAGTTACAAAATTGCAATGTTTCTTTCAAGCGTAGATTTAATAAATTTTTATTAAAAAAATTATAATAAGTTTTATATTTTTAAAAAGACATAAATAAAAAAATGGTTGCTTAGTTGTGTCCCTGATGTGGCTTCCTGACGTGGCTTGTCAATTCATATGATTGTCAAAAATGCAATGCATTTCAGGATATGATGGTACAACGCGGTTACTAAAAAAATCATAACCGATCAGCGGCTCATAGCCAACGTTATTCTTTTTTTTAAAAAAAAACATACTGTATATTCTATTACACAATGTTACCAATGGGCCGAAAAAAATTTTTTTGGGGCTGTAATTTATTTTAACGAAAAAAAAATATTTTAATTAATGTAAGAAGTTTCTGTCATTTTTAATAAAAAAAAATTTTTTTTCATTTGATATTTAATAAAAAAGATCTAAATTTTTGTTTATTTCAGCCACATCATCTGCGTATCACAAACAAGTGTTTTGTTGATCGTTTGGTCGTTTACCTGTTTATGGGATCATGAAATATTTTTGTTCAAATATAAAAGGAACCTGAAATCAGGGTATTTGTAAATTGTAATTCTATAAAAAAAATCTTTCTTTTAATTAACTAGAAAGGGAGATTTAAAGAATACCAACGAATTATTTGTCCATTTACCCGTTTTTTGAACAAACTACAAAAATTGGGTTCTTTTTTTTTATTAATAACCTATCAAAAATTAATTTTAAAAATGCTTATGAGCCTATGAATATCAGGGCTCGAAAACCAAGATAGTTGAAATACAACAAATGTAACGATAATATAGACGTATTGCACAAATATATTCTAATGCCGTGGATTTTCCTAAAACGGCCCAGATTTTATGGAAGAAAAATCATGAATCTCAAAAAGTTTTAATTCAAATTTATAAAATTTCGATCAAAGATTATATGGATTTTGGATTACGCACGAGGATTAATGATTCAATTTGGAATTAAGACCGAAATTGAAGTAAACTTGTGAATATTATTACAAAAGTTTATAAAAGAAACTTCGCGATGTAACAAAATCTGTGATGGAAGCAGTGTTTCCAATTAAAAGACATTATAAAAAATTATTTGAACAAGAATTTTTTATTGAGGCTCATAGTAGAACCTTTTAATATTTTTCCATTAAAAATATTTAAATAGATTCTTAAAAAGTTTTTTAAATAAATTTTATAAATTTTTCAAATAAATTTCTTTTAAAATATTTTTTATTTTTTAAATTATAATTATGATCAAGATCAAGATTTAATTGATTTATGGCCTGATGGCTGACACAGAGAAATTGGAACTTATGATAGCTAGTTATTTTGCAATTTTTTTTTAAAGAAAATAAAGAAATAAAAGAAGGGAAATTTTTTTTATTTTTTAAATATTTTTATATCTTATCAATTATAAAGTTCGCAATCATAATTAAACTCTGTTCAATAATGCCGGTCTCTAACGTAGGGGTGGATGATAATAACTATACGTAAGGGGGTTTTGACAACACTAACACTAAATCTCTGACTAATTATTATATTCATATGATTTTCCATATTGGTAAAAATCCTCAGGTCATAAAATTCAAAGCATAACATGATACAACATATAATTTTTAATACAGATAATAATACTCATATGACGGTAATTAATCACCTAGCCGAGTTCATATGATTTAGCAAAAATACTCTTGAAAAATTTTTTTACAAATTTTCTTCATAAAAAAAATTAAAAAAATTTTAAATAAATACAGTACTAACCTTTGTAAGTCCGGAGCGAAAAACTAAAATCTGCAATTTCATTGGGTGACGATCACATGGCGGACAGAGAAATTCACGTAATCGTTTTTTTTTTCAATTTTCATTGATTTTGACTCGATGATCGGAATGTTCTTAAATCGGGTATATTGATTTAGACCCGGGTATTTTAATGCTATACAAACTTTGAAATAATTATAAACTTACAAAGAAGATAGTATTCAAATTACAAGTTTTAAACTTTTCTAAACGTTTATTTTTTCNAACACTAAATCTCTGACTAATTATTATATTCATATGATTTTCCATATTGGTAAAACTTTTTTTTTTAAAAAAAAAAAAAAAAATATTAAAACATATCAACACAATTTCTTTCAAAATTAAGTCAAAATTATAATGAATTATTGGAAGACAATGAATATTATGATATTAAATTGAAGTTGGAGAAGATACTAATGTGAAATTTTTTCGTGCACATATGAATATTTTGTATTGCCGTTCTCCATATTTATGAAGGGTTTTGGCTTCAAATAAAAAGAATAGATAATGTTTTAGCTCATTTTAAATTATTGAATATATCACCTGATATTTTTCAAATTATTTTTAAAGTAAAAAAAAATTATATAACATCTTAATGAATTTACCATAATCTTAAACTGTTAAATTTTTAAAAATAATCGTTTATAATAAAGGTATATTTATGGCGGTATCCTTTCATTGGATAAACTAGACATTTCGGGGATGTTCTTAAATTCCTACTAGCTGCAGTTGAATTTCTTCTTCAAGAACTAATCGATTATTTACAAAATAATTTAATTGAAAATGAATCTCAATGGATGGAACAACATTTTGAACTTGTTCACAGAACAAGCTTTCAAATTTACTTCTCTAACAGTAATTCAACAATTCTGCACGAACTTGATTGCAAAATTTACGGATAAAATATTTAACTCACTTGATTTCACGCCAATTCCTAAAAAATCTTTAGTTCAACTTATTAAAAGTGATTTACAAATGAAAGAAATTGAAGTTTGAGAACATGTATTAAAATGAGGTATCCTACGGAGAATACTATACAACATTTCTTACCATTTATCAGATTTTTTGTTTATCATCTATTGAATTCTTACAAAAAGTTCGCCCATATCAAAAATTATTTAAACGTCAATTTTATGAAGATTTATTAAGTTCTTATTTGGAACCTAATAATGTATCAACCGAAAACATTTTACTTCCTAGAAATATTAAAGTTAACGATTCAAAATTTGTTAATTCAAATATTGTTTCAATTATTTCAAGATGGATCGATAAAGTGGATATTAATCATAGAGTTTCTCATTTAAGAGAATTTTATTTACCATATAAACTTGAATTGTTACTAAGAGGAAGTCGAGATGGATTTACACCTAAAAAATTTCATACTTTATGTGATAATAAATTAAATACTGTCACCTTTATTCAAAAATTTTTTCTTAGAATAGTTAACACACAAATTTCGATACTCACAGTGTACACTAGTGAAAAATTTTATAAGTATTTTTTATGTTCTTTGCGGAAATAATAATAGTACGTGCAGCCCTAGATATTATTGATCTGCGAGTTGTTGGTCGAACTTCTAGTATATTATGATAAAAAAAATGAAAAAAAAAGACAAACAATAAAAAATAAAATAAATATAAATATAAAATGAAAATAAAATAAAAAAAACATGAAAACTATGATAATAGAGAAAATTCGATTATCTATGTTAAAGTAGCTTGTTAAAAGTGAAATATATTTTTTTTTCTAACTTAGTTTTTTATGAAATCTAAAAACTCAAAGGAAGGTCAATGTAAATGTACTTTTTTTTGTAACACAAACTAATACAATTACGCGTATTCTCTTAGTACTGTACTTTAGAGATTAAAACCACTGTTCTGAGCATACCCTATTTGTATTATATTTTTTTTGTAAGTTTCAAGCATCAATAATTTTTTTATATTGAAAACTCATTTTTGTTACGTAAAAATAAAATAATTTGAAATGATTAATCACTTACCCTTCACTAGTAAAAATAGTGTTATATTATTTTTCATTGGATAACTTTTATATCTGATGAAAAAAAAATAATAATAAATTATTGTCTTTGCTACAATGATAGGATAATTTGCAGAAAGAAATTATCATTATTGTATAAAAGATAATATTTACTAATTGCACTTTTAATATATAATACATTCACCAATAAAAAAGTAAAAAAAAAATGTTACCAAGTCAATAATGTCATTCGAAACCTCCTTTGGCTCCCTAAGGAAATTTGCATCTCCTTTAATAAAGCCTGCAGAATTATTTATACTGCGAAAATTTCAATGAAAAAATAATTGTGTAATTAATTCCTATATCTGTTCTGAGACAAATTCGGTCATCAGTAATAATAAGTGATGTATATGGTAATATATTTTCAGTAGCTTACTATAGTATATTTGCCTGTTAAATCATTAAATCAGTATTATCAGCATTACTATTAACAACACATCCATAAATTACAATGTCTTATTACGTTTCCAATAGTGTATATCCGAATGTCAATTATAAAATAATATAAATAACCTGAACTTGTTATAAATTATCAATAGTATTAATAGTATTCGTAAAAATATAAGTCAATAAAAGTTTCAGTCAATAATATCATGCATATGACTGATCTGAAATTATATAAATAAACATAAAATTTATTTTCAAAAAAAAAAATAATAAATTTTCAAATATAATAAATATAATTATTGTATATTAATCACAACATACTGGAATCACCACCTAAAGCAATAATATTTTAATCTTAGTGGTAAATGATTCAGTTTATTCATAATTAGTATCTCTAGTATAACCATTAACTAGAAAAAAGAAAAAAGATAAATGCATGATATATAATATTCTTAATTTTCAAATTAATTATTTACCAAATATTATTCCTGTCTCTTATACACATCTAGATGTGTATAAGAGACAGCTCTAATATTATTTTTCATCGGGATAACTTTTATATTTGATGAAAAAAAAAAATAATAATAAATTATTTACTTTGCTACATGATAGGATAATTTACAGAATGAAATTATCATTATTGTATAAAAGATAATGTTTATTAATTGCACCTTTAACATATGATACATTCACCAATAAAAAAGTGGAAAAAAAATGTTACCAAGTCAATAATGTCATTTGAAACCTCCTTTGGCTCCCTAAGGAAATTTGCTGTCTCTTATACACATCTAGATGTGTATAAGAGACAGATGTTAAAGTAGCTTGTTAAAAGTGAAATATATTTTTTTTTCTAACTTAGTTTTTTATGAAATCTAAAAACTCAAAGGAAGGTCAATGTAAATGTACTTTTTTTTGTAACACAAACTAATACAATTACGCGTATTCTCTTAGTACTGTACTTTAGAGATTAAAACCACTGTTCTGAGCATACCCTATTTGTATTATATTTTTTTTGTAAGTTTCAAGCATCAATAATTTTTTTATATTGAAAACTCATTTTTGTTACGTAAAAATAAAATAATTTGAAATGATTAATCACTTACCCTTCATTAGTAAGAATAGTGTTATATTATTTTTCATCGGGATAACTTTTATATTTGATGAAAAAAAAAAATAATAATAAATTATTTACTTTGCTACATGATAGGATAATTTACAGAATGAAATTATCATTATTGTATAAAAGATAATGTTTATTAATTGCACCTTTAACATATGATACATTCACCAATAAAAAAGTGGAAAAAAAATGTTACCAAGTCAATAATGTCATTTGAAACCTCCTTTGGCTCCCTAAGGAAATTTGCATCTCCTTTAATAAAGCCTGCAGAATTATTTATACTGCGAAAATTTCAATGAAAAAATAATTGTGTAATTAATTCCTATATCTGTTCTGAGACAAATTCGGTCATCAGTAATAATAAGTGATGTAT